TTCTTACACTCATTCTCTCTCTCTCTCTCTCTCTCTCTCTCTCTCTCTCTCTCTCTCTCTCTCATCTCTCCATCAATTGAGTTCTGTCAGAAGTGCTTTGTTGGCGAGAGAAGCGGTCCACGGCGCCAAACTGTGTTGTGATTAAAATGCTAAAGCGTGTGTGTGACGGCTTAAATATCCCAGAAGGCTACAGTAGGGTGACATCATCTCCAAAAAGTGTGTGTGTGTGTTTGTACAAGCAAGCGAGTGTGAGATTGATCAGGCTGTGTGTGTGTGTGAGTGTGATTGAGCATTAAAACACTCTCTTTGACAGTAGTTAAACATCCAAAAGCTCGATCTTGACTGCACGTGAGCTCACACACACACACACACACTCTCTCTGTGTGTGTCAGGGTCCTTCATAACTACATGCTGTGGCGTATGGTGGCGGCTCTGAGCGAGCATCTGTCCACGGCGTTCCGCAGCTCCATCCACGAGTTCTCCCGCGAGATCGACGGCACCGAGACTCAGCTGGACCTGCAGCGCCTGTGCCTCAATCAGGCCAACAAACACTTCGGCATGGCTCTCGGGGCGCTCTTCGTCCAGCAGCACTTCTCCTCCAGCAGCAGAGCCAAGGTCAGGTGTGTGTGTGTGTGTGTGTGTGTGTGCCAGTCTCTGAAACTTCTACAGTGAGATCATTAATGAATGAGAAAAATAGCAACTTAGATTATTTAACCCTAAAACCGTATTCTGGACAAAATAGTTTTGATTTATTTTTTAAAAATGCTTCCCTTGATCTGAGCGGTACAAGACTTGGCTGCTTTTAAGAAGTTTGCCTCCTGAACACACACTTTTATTTTTTTTTACTCAATTCTACAATGTTATGACTCCAAAAATGTACTGTTTTTGTTTTTTGTCTTTTCAAATGTTTATATGTATTTTTTTTTTAATATGGAACTATTTATTCTGCTGTCTTGGCCAGGACTTCTGAATCTCAATGGGACTATTTTCCTGGTAAAATAAAGGTAAATAAATAAAGAAATAAAATGTTAAGTGCGTGAAAAAAAAACTCCTTAATCTTGTATTTGGGTCAATAATGGGCACCCATAGAAATGAATGGGAAACACTGTAATTTAGAGCATTCTAAAATAAGCCACCAGGTGACAGCAAAGTCACTTCATCTTTAGGTTTTAGCTGTAAGAACTTATTGGAATCATATTTTAATGGAGTTAAAAAAATTTTTTAAAAATGTAATTGATAGTTGTATTTGAACTAATTATAACATTTTATATTGTATATTTTGTATTGTAATTCACCTTCTCGGGGACTGCAGATGGAAACTAGCTTAAGCTAAATCTGGTGCAAAGCATCTTTAATTAATGTTTTTTTCCACATTGTCCTTGTTGAAATAAATAAATAAATTAAAAAAATAAAACATAAAAATAAGCATAATTTACATAGAAAATATGGTACTTTTTGAAGTAAATAAATTCAAAAATACCCCCAAAATAAAAAGAAAAACACCATAAATGGATAGACAAAACTTTATCGAAGACAGTGATATAACATTTATAATAAATAAAAATTATGATCACACACTTGTCCACAATTACAGGATTAAGGGCTATAAAGTGAATACGGTTTGAGTGCTACGGAGAAATAATGACGTTTTCTGATTATAGTTTTGTGCAAATGCTTTACCTGTTTTATTGTTCCGGGTCTCGTTGTTTGTAAACTCTAATTATGCTATATTATCACCAGATGTGTCTGGTATTTCACTGTCTCGGTTAATTATTTGGTTAAATGTCGTTTTTCCCCAAATAACTTGTGAGATGTATGATATATATCCATCATGTGACGTAAGTAAACAGTGATTTCGAGCTGTTTGGTTTCATTCATTTGATGTGATCTAACGGTTTAGACGTCGATTAAATGTTGACTTACAGCCCATATTCAGCCGTGTGTTAGCCTAGACGTCTGGGGCGCTGTTAGACGTCTTATAAACGCTAAACTGCATTCTGGGAAAGATTTTCACTCCAAAAGTGGGGAGCGTGAGCTCAGATCGGTGAGGCCTATGATCAATCAGCTCCAAAAAAACACACACACACACACACACACACATCCCTATCAATAGAATCGTTACTTTAAATCGTTCAATGTTTGTGATATCAACTTCAAATTTGGGACACAGTTTGGATTGACACACAGCTTTGATTTTATAACAGTTTTAAAGGCCAAATTATGTAGTAAAATATGTATTTTGAATAAAATATGAAACGTTAAAGTTAGCCATTTTTGCTTTTATTTTTTATTTATTTATTTTATTTTTTTACATTTCTTTCACTTCTGCTATAATCTGCTGATTTTCTGCTTATAAAATTAATATGAGGTCCCCATTTTTATCTATTTTGTCATTAATACTGAATTTCAATTTTGGCAAAAAGTCATGTCACTCTTAATGATAACCAATCATTGCTTGCATTATTGGTGCTATTATTGTTATTATTATTATTATTATTTCAGAGAACGTATGCACATCCCTAGTAGATTAATGTTATGAATTATATGCAGCTGTTGTAATACATATACATATTAATATTAAATTCCTTAAACATTGTACAGGAGGTTATTCTAACTTGAAGAGTTCTTTCTCAGTTTAATAGAGTTATTGAGAGATCTTCTTCTTTCCCGAGCGCTACACACCTCCATCTTCTCTTTCTGATGAAGTGGATCTGTGTTTGTTTACCTTCATCTCAGTTCCTTCCTCCCGCTCTGTTTTAGATAGATATATGATGGATGGATCAAACCCAACTGCTTTTGAGGGAGACGTTGTTCCCAGATGGTTTGCGTGGCGGGGAGTATAGATTGTAGAAATCCTCAGTCAAAGTGTCACTCTCGTCTGACGACTGCAGACTTCTGTTCAGTTTCTCCAGCTTGCAGGATTCAGCCTCTTACAACTCTATATTAATGCACAAATCAAGACTTTACAGTGAGCATCTTTCTTTCTTTCTTTCTTTCTTTCATAAAGCATTATTTTATACTGTCGGGTCAGTAAGATTTTTTTAGATTAAATATATTTGCTTGTTATTTTTTGTGATTCTTTTGATGAATAGAAAGTTCAGAATAGAATCATAAAAAAATAGAAACATTCTAAATGTCACTTTTGATCAATTTAATGCATTTTTGCAGAATAAAAGTATTAATTTCTTCCCCCCTAAAAAAGACGTCAAACTTTTGAACGCTAGTTTTACTGAACGAAATTGAAGCAAAAGATTCCTAAAAGAATTTAAAAGAAGTCTAAATTAGATGTGTATGTGCTATTTTCCAAGTCATGTGAAGTGATGAACATAATTTGCAGAATATTTTTGCGCAGCGTTTGTTTTTGTGGGTCTGGTAATGTGCTCACGCTCGGCTGTGGTCGTCTCAGGTAATTCTGACCAGCTTTTAAATGAATGTCTCACTTGACTTGCTTTTCTAATTACAAGTGTGAATCATTTTTGTCAGTCAAGTCTCCACTGCATATTAACTCAACATGAATGTGGAAAGATGTGAAAGAGTTCAGAAGCACCTTTAGAAACTGTGCTGAAATATCAAAATCATATATATCACAACATTCAGCAGTACACTTATTCATTCAGCCGAGAGCGAACTCTTCCTTACAGCTGATCCATCTTCAAATATACAACACACAACAGCATAGAGTTAGTGCTGGAAATTCAACAGTAAATGTGTTTAGATATTAAAGTACGTGGTGTTGCCGATCTCTTTTCATTTTGGAGATTATTCATATTATCCCTCATGAGTAACGCATGAGTGTGTGTGTAAAACTGTGTTATTTGAGCAGACTTTAGTTGACATGCACACTCTAAAAAATGTTGGGTTGTTTTAACCCAATTTTGGGTTAAAATGTACAAACCCAAACATTGGGTTGAAAATGTAATTAAATAAATTGACACAATGGCTGGGTTTGTCCATATTTGACCCAAAATTGGGTTAAAACAACCCAGCAGTTTTTAGAGTGTTCACAACTCAAGTTGTGTCAAAAATGGACAAACCCAGCGAATGGGTTGTTTTAACTCTGCGGTTGGGTTAAATGTTTACCCAACCTGCTGGGTAGTTTTATTTAACTCAACTAATGTTTAAAAATGATTGTATTTCTTTCATAAATTTACCCCGAAGTATGTTGAAAATAATCATATATATTAATATAATAGGTTTTATAAATAAATAAGTTTAATGAATAATAATTAAACAATAAACATGTATTGAATTGGCTATTAATAAATGCCCACCTTTTGATTATTATTGTTGCCTCTAGTTATTACGTGTGTGATAAGTTACTCTGGGTTTATGTAGTAATTTTCAAACAATAGTTGGATTAAATAAAACTGTCCAGAATGTTTAACCCAACCGCTGGGTTAAAACAGCACATTTGCCGGGTTTGTCCATTTTTAACCCAACTTGGGTTGTTTTAAATGCAACATTTTTTAGTCAAGTCACCTTTATTTAAGGTGACTTGACTAAAATATTAATATTGGTTTTTTTTTACAGTACAGTGTTTCTAAGCAGCTTTACAGAGAAAAATAAATAATAATTAAGCTTAAATAAGTTCAATGATGTTTAATTTTTATTGCAAAAGTTCATTTATATATATATATAGTCTCTGTGGAGATCGTCCAGCTCAGTTCTTGTATAATGGTGTCAATGCAGGAGATCAATCATATTGCTGTAAATAAATGTAATGTAATTAGATGTAGTGTCCCCAATGAGGTTTGATTGACAGCTTGACTCCGCCCCCGTGCGCAGGTGCAGGATCTGGTGGAGGACATCAAGCACTCGTTGGACGTGAGACTGCAGGAGCTCGACTGGATGGATGACCAGACTAAAGACGCTGCGAGAGCAAAGGTGGAAACATCTCCGTTTCCCAACACACACACACACACACACACACACACACACACTAAAATATGCTCTTGGGTCAAAGACAAACCCAACCGTTGGGTTAACATTTGTAATCACATCACAACCGTTGGGTTCGTCCATATTTGAGTAATTGAGCTGACTGTGATTTAGTGACTGTGAAAGGCATAACTCGGTCGTCTGATCTGAGGTCAGATCTCTGTGCACTGGAGTGTGTGTCCTCGGACATGATGTGTGTGTGTTCTCTCTCAGCTTCAGCACATGATGGTCATGACCGGCTATCCTGATTTCCTGATGAAACCGGAACTAATTGACGAGGAATATGCGGTGAGACGCTTTAGCCAATCAGATGATGGACGCTTTTAGCCAATCAGATGGTCAGATCGCAGACGCTCATGTGAATCTTCATCTCTGTGTCCAGTTCGACGTGAAGGAGAAGACGTACTTCAAGAACATCCTGAACAGCATCAGGTACAACATCAAGCTCTCCGTCAAGAAGATCCACAGACAAGTGGACAAGACCACGTACGTAACCACACACACACGCACACACACACACACACACACACACACACACACACACAACACACTTTTAGATGGTTTCATCTTCAGATCTGAGTTCAGGAAAATGTGTTTGTGTTCATTAAAATACAATATTCTGTAATTACAATAGCAATCACTGTGTGTGTGCGTGTGTGTGTGTGTGTGCGTGTGTGTGTGTGTGTGTGCGTGTGTGTGTGTGTGTGTGTGTGTGTCCACAGGTGGCTTCTTCCACCACAGGCTTTAAATGCGTATTATCTGCCAAACAAAAACCAGATGGGTGAGTGAAACACACACACGAAACACACACACGAAACACACACACGAAACACACGCACATGAAACACACACACGAAACACACACACATGAAACACACACACGAAACACACACACACATGAATACTGAAATTAATGCTTTAATTCATTAATCAAGGACACATTAAACTGATCAAAAAAACGACAGTAAAGATATTTATAATTTTACAAATGATTCTATTTGAAATAAATGCTGTATTTTTGTTCACTAATCCTGAAAATAATTTGCATAATGAGAGGGAAGGTGTGCGATTCGCTTCAGGAGCACATGTGGGCGGGGCTTGACTGTCTGTGGCAGCTGATTGGCTGGTTGTGGTTTGCTATTGGCTGATGTGAGTGACAGGTTAAAGCCCCGCCCTGGTCATCAGAGAGAGGGAGATGAACACTGCAGTGTGTGTGTGTGTGTGTGTGTGTGTGTGTGTGTGTGTGTGTGTGTGTGACAGTGATGATGATTAAAGTCTCTCTTCAGTGTTTCCCGCAGGAATCCTCCAGCCGACTCTCTATGATCCCGAATTCCCTCAGTGAGTGTGTGATCATTCCCAGATCAATATTCCCGTGTGTGTGTGTGTGTGTGTGTGTGTGTGTGTGTTTTATGTTTGCTGTGGCTTTTCTCTGAGAGTTCTTGCAGATTTTATTGATTTCCCTTCACAAACTCTCTTAGAGAGGACAAATCTTACCAGACCACACATGTGAGTGTGTGTGAGTGTGTGTGTTTGAGTCTCTGCTGCCTCCTCCTGTTCACGGCGCTGTAATACACTTGTGTGTGTGTGCGTGAGTGTGTCTGTGTGTATGTGAGTGAGTGTGTGTGTGTGTGTGTGTGTGTGTGCGCGTGTGTGCGTGTGTGTGTGTGTGTGTGTGTGTGAGAGTGTGAGTGTGTCTGTGCATGTGTTTGTGTGTTCATGTGTGTGTATGTGAGTGTGTGTGAGTGTGTGAGTGTGTGTGTGTTTGAGTCTCTGCTGCCTCCTCCTGTTCACGGCGCTGTAATACACTTGTGTGTGTGTGCGTGAGTGTGTCTGTGTGTATGTGAGTAAGTGTGTGTGTGTGTGTGTGTGTGTGAGCGTACTGTAATGTGTTTGTTCTATCTCAGGTCACTGAACTACGGAGGAATCGGTGCGATCATCGGACACGAGCTCACACACGGATACGACGACTGGGGTGAGACACACACACACACCACGACTGTTAATCCAGCATACTGAACCCAGTCACACACACTCTTCAGTACACACTCAAGCGACACACAACCCAAACCAGAGTCTTCGATCCAGCGGATAATCGCGACTCGATCACGTGTGCATTGTGGCATGTGATGTCATGTTTTGATTTAGGGTCATGTGACCTCCTCCTGTCTGCTGATAGGTGGGCAGTACGATCGCTATGGCAACCTGAAGCAGTGGTGGACCGAAGACTCGTACAGGAAGTTCCAGAAGAAGACGGAGTGTATCGTCAAACTCTACGACAACTTCACTGTGTACAACCAGAGGGTACACACACACACACACACACACACACACACACACACACACACACCACTCACACACACACACACACACCACCACTCACACACACACACACACACACACACACACACACTCACACACACACACACACACACACACACACACTCAACACACACACACACACACACACACACACACACACACACACACACAATCAGACTCATCACACAATCTATCTCTCTATCTATCTCTCTCACACACACACACACACACACAAGAGCGATCTGGTTGTACACGCTAAAACAGGTGTGGTGTGTGTGTGTGTGTGTGCAGGTGAACGGGCGTCTGACGCTGGGTGAGAACATCGCTGATCTGGGCGGACTGAAGTTGTCGTATTACGTGAGTTTCCTCAGATCCGACTGTCAGATCCAGTGTAAGGAATGACCCAACAATAGGAGGTTAAATGATGATAAGTGTGGTGTGTGTGTGTGTGTGTGCAGGCGTATCAGAAGTGGGTTCGTGAGCACGGCCCTGAGCGTCCTCTTCCCGGACTCAAATACACACACGAGCAGCTGTTCTTCATCGCGTTTGCTCAGGTAATCAATATTCAATAATCATCACTAGAGACTTGATAATCTGCAATATATTCTCATGTGTGTGTGTGTGTGTGTGTGTGTGTGTGTGTGTGTTGTGTGTGTGTGTGTGTGTGTGCAGAACTGGTGTATGAAGAGACGATCACAGTCGATTTACCTGCAGCTGCTGACGGATAAACACGCACCTGAACACTACAGGTGAGCTCCACACACACACACACACACACACACACACACACACACACTTTATTTCTCTGGACATGAGGAGATCTGTCAGTCAATAAACGTGAGAAAGTAACATATATATATTGTTGTATTTTTTAAAAGTTGTGTTACTTTACTAGTTACTTTTAAAAGTAATCTGATTACATGACTGAAGTTACTTATAACGAGTTCCACACAACACTGCTGATATCGGTCAAATATTAATTATAGTAGTTCAAAATAAATGATAAAACATGTTTTTATTTTAGTGATATGACACTTTCATTCAGACGCTTCCATACATGTTTACTTCTATGAAAACTTTGATTTGTGTGATTAAAAATAGATAAACAACGCAGATATAAGTACTTTCATTAAAGGGATACTGCACTTTTTTTGGAAATAAGCTCATTTTAGCACTCCCCCAGAGTTAAACTGTTGAGTTTCACCCTTTTCAAATGTATTCAGCCGATTTAGTGATATTTAGAAGAATATCAGTAACCAGACAGTTCTTCTAAATATTAGAAACATTAAATCCCTTTAATAAGTCTCCATGTATATTCTCATATAGTGAGATGTGATTGGTTCCTCGGTTCCTCGTTCCCACGGCTCAGTCCTTCAACGTTTGTGAATCTGAACATAAAATGTTTCAAGGCCCTGTAAAGTTTTGGAAAGTAAAGCTTATGAAGCACTTGAAGCTTCCTCATCTCTGTGTGTGTGTGTGTGTGTGTGTGTGTGTGTGTGTGTGTGTGTGTGTGTGTGTGTGCAGGGTGATCGGCAGCGCGTCTCAGTTCGAGGAGTTCGGCCGAGTGTTTCACTGTCCCAGAGGATCCCCCATGAACCCCGTCAACAAGTGTGCCGTCTGGTGACCTTTGACCCCTCGTGACCCCGCGACCTTGCGCTGCTCGACATCACCATCCGATCACGACGCCGTTCGATGTTTACAGCATTCCATCGGGAATCCCCCTCATGTGCCATAACTCCTTTCAAATGTTTATTTTTATATTCTGATGCGGAGTGTGTTCTTCATGTTTGTACGGGCTGTTTTTGCGTTCTGTGTGTGTGTGTGTGTGTGTGAGGACAGAGGCGGCGCTGTATCGTATAGGCATGTTGATGTTTGATATGACGTGTTTTGTCGGAGGAGTTTAAGGAGAAAAAGATGTTGGATTATTCAAATGGTATTGTCAATGTTCTTGAGCTGCATTATGGACCCTCACCAGAGTGCATTGTGGGATATCTCCACTTCATCTTCACACCTACACAAGAGTGCATTGTGGGATATCTCCAGACTGGTTTTAGAGAGCTGGTGTTCCTGATGTGGTGTTCCTGTGGCTGTGATGGACGAGGTTCTCCTTATTTCTCCCAGATCAGGTCTGGACTTCGAAATAACCCCATCAGTCGAATCCAGATGAGCATACCCAGATAGCAAACTGACATTGAATCAACGTGGAAATATGACATCGAAACAACGTTGATCTGACATTGTTTTGCTCATCGAATTAACGTTGAACCAACGTCAGACGCGTCATTCTTTCAAAACTAACGGAAAATCAACTTGAAATCAACGCGTTGTTTCAACGTTATGAAAGCAAACCAATTTTCGATTTCATTTAGCTTTGAAGAATGCCGCGTCTGACGTTGGTTCAACGTTAATTCGATGAGCAAATCAACGTTGTTTCAATGTCATGAGAGACGTCGTTTCCACGTTGATTCAATGTCAGTTTGCTATCTGGGTATGCACTGTAGCACTGAACATGGGCCATCATCATCATCATCATCATCATCATCATAGAACTATAATTTTGTATAAAGTTTTTGCTCATGAAAGATAAAAAGATTAACTTTGTACAGATGCACTATATGAAAGTTTAGAAAAATGTACAGGTCAAATAAAGCATGTTTCCTGTTTAAAACACATACACACTCACACACACACACACACACACACACACACACACTGTCTCTCTCATACATGCTCTCTCTCTCTCTCTCTCTCTTTCTCTCTATCTCTCACACACACACACACACACACACACACACTCATAAAAATAAGACTTTATTGAAAGAAAAACTGGAAAATGCTGAGTTCTCCCATAATCCATGTTTGGAATAAAACAAGATCATGTGCAGCACTGACGGATCTGCTTGTAATCATTCATGGAGACAGATGACGGACTTTTATTTATTTTCCAGTCAGTCGCTAAACAACAAATAGTTTAAATTATAGTTTAGTTACACAATATACGAGATATTCTGAAATGTGCTTATGCCAAACTCGAACTTTTTAATGAGATGCTCAAATATATACATATTTATTCCGGGATTTGTTTAAAGCAATATTGTTAAGAACTGCATCCAGTTCTTTTTCAACGATAAATCAATCTGGGGGATTAGTGGACAAAGATTTCGAGAAAAACAAATATTACAGTCTACTTTCGAGAACCGAGAGGAAGAGTAAAACATGTAGACTTCTTTTTCTATGATTTAAGAATCTTTCCTCACCATTTACTAAAAGACTAGAGATTACATTTTTTTGTTGTCGACTTTTTCTAGATTGAAAAAAAAATGAAAATACAGTCGCTTCCGGTGCAGTAACTAACGCTGCAATGTACAGCGTAAGTTATTTTACGAAAAAAGACACAATTAAAGTGATAGTTTAAAAATAGTTCAAAAATAGTGCACATAACGTTTATGAACGTCTCATGACTTTTATTTACAATTTTACAGACCGGATGTTGTCATCGCTGACTTCCCAACCTCTGTTGTGCGCGCTTGCGTTTGGTTTCCTGTTTGCACAACCAACAAATTCACAACAAACTGAACTAAAAACCATAAAGCTTGAATGTTATAAATTAAATATGATCTAAGATTAAACTCGCATTTTAATGGACACGAACTCGAAGCCCTGCGCGAGGCGAGAAAAGGTAAAAACAACATTACAGCTTCTTCAACATTTACACACATTAAAGTTAGCATAACCATATTTATATAGATAAAGACATGTATTGAAATAAACAAAGTATAATGTGTAAAATAAACATATATAGATATATAGAAGAATCATGATATTACAATCAAACTACCTGTAAATCATATTAAACTAAAGCAGCTGATGATTATGAACTTTCTATTGCTGTTTCTTCCTGTTTTTCATTCTTTTCTTTTGGTAAAGTTATTATCCATAAACACACACACTTTCAGGCTCACTTCCTTCTCTCTCATATTGTTTGATTGAGCATTAACTAGTAATAATAAAACAGATTATTGAATCAGTATGATCATTTATTTGCACTGTAGTATGTGTATTTACTGTATGATCTTGTGTGTGTTCCTCTTCAGGAGTGTGTGTTGGCGATGTCTGACAGCCTGTCTCTGCCCTCTTACGCCGATTATCCCACGAGACGTCCCTTCATCAACACACACACTCACACACTCCTGCCCTACAGCAGCAGAGCCGTGAAAGCCTTTCCTGAGAGCAGCGGGGCAGGTACACACACACACACACACACACACACTTGCTGTCACCTGAGAGCTCACGCTCGGATACACTGATGCCCGTATAGCGAATGAGAGATGATCCAGTGACAGTGTGAATCCGCTCATGAATGATTCACACACACACACACACACGGCTGACTGCAGTAACTCACACTTTTATGACTGATGTTTTACTCCAGATAGTGATGATTACGCTCTCATGAACACGAGAGATGGAAACACGGCTGTATTCACACGTTTTATTCCATATTCTAGATTTGTGCAACTTTTAATGGAAACACAGTTAGTAATAGTCTTTTTAATCTTCTTTTAACTAATTTCATACATAATGAGTTGATTGATATGGATTTATAATGCATCTCAGTGACAGTGAAGGCCATGTCTGAGAGATGATCCTGGTGAACAGCTCCTCCTGCTGGACACTCACGGCTTCACGATCAGACTCTTTCACATCTGATAAACGAATCGATTTATAGAAGAGGAATCATCTTTACGAGACGTACGAGTGTCTGAAGTGTTGTACGTGTGTTTGCAGAGATTATTTCAGCGCTGAAGAACCTGCAGGAGAAGATCCGTCGCCTGGAGCTGGAGCGACGACAACACACACACTCCTCGGAGCGACGAGAACACACACACTCCCCGGAGAGACCCGACACCGGTGCGTAGGGCTGAGCGACATGGCCAAAAAATTATCATAACGTTTTTTTTATATCAGTCGATATCGATGATTATCACGATAAATGTTAAATGTTTATTTCTTTCCAGTTTTAAGGCAGATTTGAGCTCCGTAGTGAAAGTTGAGCGTTAGTTGTGGTTTCAAACTACTCTTTATTATCAGAACACATCATGACCTTATAGTTCTCCACTTCACACACTTCGATAGGCCGTGTGGCGCGCGGTTCAAATGAGTTTCGTTCCGCTTTTTCCCCGAATAAACATTATCGGACATTTATCGAACTCTTGATATCGTTTTAGCGAGTAAAAACTGATGCGACTGAAAGCACACACCAGTCTGAGCCGTATTATTCAGGAGACCAGTGATGATAGAGTGTGTGTGTGTGTGTGTGTGTGTGTGTGTGTAGACCTGCGCGCTCAGCTGTCTGCGGCCGAGACCCGATGCTCGCGGTTGGAGAGACAGTTGGAGCTCATGAGGAAGAGTGTACGACACACTGAGTCAGACAGAACCGCTGTGCTGCAACAACAGGTGAGACACACACACACACTCAAACACACACATACTCACTCACATACTCACTCAAACACTCACTGACTCACTCACACACACACTCACTCACTCACTCACCTGTCCCACTTAAGCAGATGTGTAGACATAGACTCATTCATCCTCCTGTGTGTGTGTGTGTGTGTGTCAGGTGTCTCTGGAGCGTGTGTGTTCTGTGGATCAGTTGTGTAAGCTGGATGTTCTGGAACAGGAGTATCACCGACTGACGGAGACTCAGAGAGTCACTGAGAGGAAGATCCGAACACTGGAGAGGAAACTGCAGGAAGAGGAACATCAGAGGAAACTGGTGCAGGAGCGAGCAGCTCAGGTGTGTGTGTGTGAGTGAGTGAGTGAGTCAGTGAGACGGTGAGTGAGTGAGTCGGTGAGTGAGTGAATGGGTGAGTGAGTCGGTGAGTGAGTCGGTGAGTGAGACGGTGGGTGAGTGAGTCGGTGAGTGAGTGAATGGGTGAGTGAGTCGGTGAGTGAGTCGGTGAGTGAGTCGGTGAGTGAGTCGGTGAGTGAGTGAATGGGTGAATGAGTCGGTGAGTGAGTCGGTGAGTGAGTCGGTGAGTGAGTGAATGGGTGAGTGAGTCGGTGGGTGAGTGAGTCGGTGAGTGAGACAGTGAGTGAGTGAATGGGTGAGTGAGTCGGTGGGTGAGTGAGTGAGTCGGTGGGTGAGTCGGTGGGTGAGTCGGTGAGTGAGTCGGTGGGTGAGTGACTGAGTCAGTGAGTTGGTGGGTGAGTGAGTCAGTGAGTGAATCAGTGAGTGAGTCAGTGAGTGAGTTGGTGAGTGAGTGAGTCGGTGGGTGAGTGACTGAGTCAGTGAGTTGGTGGGTGAATGAGTCGGTGAGTGAGTCGGTGAGTGAGTCGGTGTGTGAGTGACTGAGTCAGTGAGTTGGTGGGTGAGTGAGTCGGTGAGTGAGTGAGTCGGTGGGTGAGTGAGTGAGTCGGTGAGTGAGTCGGTGAGTGTTAATCATGTCCTCTTTTCTGTTGTCAGTTACAGACGGGTCTTGAAGTCAATCGTCTGCTCATTCAGTCTGTTTCTCCTCGTCCTCATAAAGCGAGCCGGATCAGACAGAAGAAAAGCTCCTCAACGGTAAACGAGTGCAGGATCAGAATCTCTCCTGTTACCACACACACTCAGAGACATCAGACAACACTGTCATCCTGACTAATCAGAGACGTTACAGTGAAGTCAAAGCTGTGTTTTCCTCCGGCTCTACAGTGTTATTCCTATCCATGTTCTGAAGGTTATTAGAGAGCGGTTTGATGATGTATAATGGGTCTGGTGTGTGTGTGTGTGTTTCTGCAGAGAGAGCCGTCCGTCCCGCAGCCGCATTACAGACTCAGTCTGGGAGACGTGCCGTTCGTGACCGGGACGGTAAACAAACACACACACACACTCTTGCTTTTCAGTTTAATAGAGTGAGTGAGTGAGTGTCACTATGAGTTTTTAATGATAATTTCTGACACCGTTTGAAGTTATTTTATTCATTGAAGTTATTTTATTTATTGAGTTATGTTCTGAAGGTAGTCATGATTGATTGATCCGCGTCTCTGTTCAGTCGACGAGCTCGAGTCACTCGGTGCGAGCGAACGTGCAGCGGGTCCTTCATCTCATGAAGCATCATCATCCTCAGCTGTGTAACGAGCGTGTGCTGGGACACGCCCCCTCCTCCAGTGGCCCCACCTCCTCCTCCAGTGGCCCTGCCCCCTCTCCCACTGGCTCCGCCCCCTGTAGGGAAGAGCTGTCGGAGCTGCTGCTGACGCTTCAGGACGAGTTCAGACTCATGAGCTGGTGAGGATTATGCTCATTAAAATAACAATACAAATAGTACATTGAAATAAAACAAATGTTAACAGAAAAACTGTTTATTTATTTAAAAAAAATCTTTTAGTTGAACTAAAAATGAATAAACATATTTGGTTCAAACAAACAAAAAAAACTAATAAACTTTGGACTAGTGTTATTATCATTAACTAAAAGTATATATAAAACTAAAAAATAAAATAAAATAAATGGTAACTAAAATAAAATACAAAAGAAATATAAAAAATCGAATTGTTTATTTAGTGGACAAGACAACATTTCTACTTTTCGTTTAGTTTATTTGGAAGTACTAAAATGATTAAGACTGGATTAAAAAGAACAAATAACTAAATTAAAAGTAAAAAGTAACATATAAATCGAGTCGAGCTGGTGACCACGATCAGTCACGCTCCAACAAAGACATTAAAGTATCAAAAGGGCATTTAATCTCGACCTGTGAAGGCTGTGCTCATGAGAAGACGACAGCATGACGACGTGAGTGTGTGTGTGTGTGTGTGTGTGTGTGTGTGTGTGTCAGCGAGCAGCAGGAGTTGTGCACACAGATCCAGTCCTGCACTTCGGATCGACTCCGACAGAAGATGGAGCGAGAGATGGAGACGCTCGTGAAGAGAATGGAGAATAAAGGAGAGCAGATCGCTCAAGTCAGGCGCCATCAAGCTCAGGTTAACTCAATAATATTTCTATTTTTGCCATTTCATTTTTGACATGAAAATAGCCTTACATACTGACATGGTGTTAAATCCATCCATCATCCATCCATCATCCACTCACCCATTCATCCATAATCAACCCACCCATCCATCCATCATCCACCCATCCATCCATCATCCATCCACCCATCCATCCATCATCCACCCATCCATCCATCATCCACCCACCCATCCATCCATCATCCACCCACCCATCCATCATCCATCCATCCATCATCCACCCATCCATCCATCATCCATCCACCCATCCATCCATCATCCACCCATCCATCCATCATCCATCCACCCATCCATCCATCATCCATCCATCATCCACCCACCCACCTACCCATCCATCCATCCATCATCCACCCATCCATCCATCATCCACCCATCCATCCATCATCCACCCATCCATCCATCATCCACCCATCCATCCATCATCCACCCATCCACCCATCCATCCATCATCCACCCATCCATCCACCCATCCATCCACCCATCCATCCATCATCCACACATCCATCCATCCATCCACCCATCCATCCATCATCCACCCATCCATCCATCCATCATCCACCCATCCATCCATCCATCATCCACCCATCCATCCATCATCCATCCACCCATCCATCCATCCATCATCCACCATCCATCATCCATCCACCCATCCATCTATCATCCATCCATCATCCACCCACCCATCCATCCATAATCAACCCACCCACCCACCCATCCATCCATCCATCTATCATCCATCCATCATCCACCCATCCATCATCCATCCACCCATCCATCTATCATCCATCCATCATCCACCCACCCATCCATCCATCATCCATCCACCCATCCATTCATCCATCCATCATCCATCCATCATCCACCCATCCATCCATCCATCATCCATCCACCCATCCATTCATCCATCCATCATCCATTCATCCATCCATCCATCATCCACCCATCCATCCATCCATAATCAACCCACCCACCCACCCATCCATCCATCGTCCACCCATCCACCCATCCATCCATCCATCCATCCATCCATCCATCATCCACCCATCCATCATCCATCCACCCATCCATCATCCATCCATCACCCATCCATCCATCATCCACCCATCCATCCATCATCCACCATCCACCCATCATCCACCCATCCATCCATCCATCCATCATCCACCCATCCATCCACCCATCATCCATCATCCATCATCCACCCATCAATCCATCATCCACCATCCACCCATCATCCACCCATCCATCCATCCATCATCCACCCATCCATCCATCATCCACCCATCATCCACCCATCCATCCATCCATCCATCATCCACCCATCCATCCATCATCCATCCATCCATCCATCATCCATCATCCACCCATCAATCCATCATCCACCCATCATCCACCCATCCATCCACCCATCCATCCATCCATCATCCACCCATCATCCACCCATCCATCCACCCATCATCCACCCATCCATCCATCCATCACCCATCCATCCATCATCCACCCATCCATCCATCATCCACCATCCACCCATCATCCACCCATCCATCCATCCACCCATCATCCACCCATCCATCCATCCATCCATCATCCACCCATCCATCCACCCATCCATCCATCATCCATCCATCCATCATCCATCATCCACCCATCAATCCATCATCCACCATCCACCCATCATCCACCCATCCATCCATCCATCATCCACCATCCATCCATCATCCACCATCCACCCATCATCCACCCATCCATCCATCCATCCATCATCCACCCATCCATCCATCATCCATCCATCCATCATCCATCATCCACCCATCAATCCATCATCCACCCATCATCCACCCATCCATCCACCCATCCATCCATCCATCATCCACCCATCATCCACCCATCCATCCACCCATCATCCACCCATCCATCCATCCATCCACCCATCCATCCACCCATCCATCCATCATCCATCCACCCATCCATCCATCACCCACCCATCCATCCATAATCAACCCACCCATCCATCCATCATCCACCCATCATCCACCCATCCATCCACCCATCATCCACCCATCCATCCATCCATCATCCATCATCCACCCATCATCCACCCATCCATCCATCCATCATCCACCCATCATCCACCCATCCATCCACCCATCATCCACCCATCCATCCATCCATCATCCACCCATCCATCCACCCATCCATCCATCATCCATCCACCCATCCATCCATCACCCACCCATCCACCCATTCATCCATCCACCCATTCATCCATCCATCCATCATCCCATCCATCATTTAGTTATCATGAGTCGAGGTCATGTTGAAATGCTCACTGAGGAATCAATAAGAGGAATCGAAATGTTAATTTTATAAAAAGTATTCGATTCCAGAATTAGAATTAATCTTCAATTTTTCAACCCTAGTTATAATGAAAGTCTGAAAAATCATTTCGAGGGGTCTTGGAAAACTGAATCACGATACGGCCGAATGTGATTATTAACCTGAAATAAATAACAGCGCTCATGTGTTAAAGTTAAAACGCATTTTACAGTCTGGTGATCTCAGGTTTGTTTTATGGTGTTTCTAGACACATTTCAAAATAAGAGTCCCACTGCATTTCAGAAAGACATTACCACACTTAACTATTCTTAAATGTTGTAGGTTTGATGTTGAGATGATTGTGTGTGTGTGTCAGATGGAGCGGCTGAGGAAGCGCAGTGGTAAACAGAGTCCCGGTGGAGGATCGGCGTCGGTGCGGCTGAGACCCGGCGAGCGGATCAGACAGAGTCTGAGTCTGCTGAAGGACATGCGCTCGCTGCAGAACTCGCTGCGCTGGGACCACTGACACCAGCGGGTTCAGCGGAAAACTCACGTCCGTGGCTCTAAACATGCCTGGGTCAAAGGTCGCCGCTAAAACATGCCCGGGTCAAAGGTCGCCGCTGAAACATGCTTTGAGTCAAAGGTCACCGCTAAAACTTGCCCGGGTCAAAGGTCGCCGCTAAAGCATGCCCGGGTAATGTTTGGTTTTTTTTATTTCCACGACATTTAATTTAATTTGGCATAAAGGCACAAAAAATATTAATTTTAAAAAATATTTTTTTACATTTATGTAACTATTTTTTTCATTATTAATATTTGTGAAATATACAAATAAATTTTAGTAACAATTTTTAGTGACAATTTAGCACATTTTATGCAATGGATTTTCATTTGTTTTTTTACTAGTATTAAAAATTGAATTATATATATATAAATGAAAATCCATTTCATAATTGGCATACAATGTGCTAAATTATCACAAAAAACTGTCATGATGCAGAGAATCTCCATGTTCCTAGTTTTAATTATGCAGAATATAATTTTTTTTTTTGGTCATGTGACCCGTACAGAATCTGTTCACATCAGTGATTAAGATTCAAATGAATGAAGATAAACCAGCAGATGAAATTGGTATTTGCCCCTTTTATCACCTGTTGAGAAATGTTTCTAATGAACTTCAGCTTCTTCTACCTCAGACATTACCCAGAATTCCTGTGCAGGACTGAATGTTTACTTGTTTTTCATGTTTAAAATGAATACTCTTGACATTCCAAGAACCCGTTTTGGTTTGGTGTAATGTGGCTTGATAAACTTTACAATCAGGTTTCATTAGTTAACATGAAGCAAACAATACTTTCACTGTGTTTATTAACATTTCTATGATCAACATCTGTTGTTAACATTAAAGCTCTATGAACAAACATGAACATTGATTAACAAACATAAACAATGGTTAATAAATGCAAATGTGAAATAAGAAATATTCCTTGTTTGTTAATGCATTAACTAGAGACTAGCTGTGTGTTTGTTTGCTCGCTCCAAGACTGTATGCTCCGTTTAAACCTTTCTTTTACAGTGTCTATGGTTTAAACTAGTGATGCTTCCATGGTGCTTCATTTGCTCTATTGTGCCATCAAGTGGACAATAAATGTAAAACGTGCAGTGTGATTATAATGACACACCTAACTAAAACGACGATAAACAACATAACAGCATATATCAGCCAGATCAAGAACATCACTTTTCTAAAGAGCATGACTAGCATGCTTGCAAAATACAGAAATACAAGCTAAAAACCCAGAAAGTCCTGTGTAATTATCCTGAGATTTTCAAAATTATTTTTAAAAATATTAGGCTACATATTTTTGTATGTTTAATTGTATGATTGTACGTATTTACGTGGAACGCTTATCGGCTACCATATGTGTAACTTTACTCAGCGAAGATCAGGATGGACCAATCACGTGTCGAGTATAACGCGATGAGGATTTTAAAATTATAATAAAATAAACCCAAAAGAAAATTTCCGTTCAATGCCAGATAACAATACTTACAGGTTATATATTAAAATTATTATAGTTCTAGCGTTCATACAAATGTGCCAAACAGGCCGAAACCACCGTGAGGTTTGAATGCGGCTCGTGGTGTTTGTGCGCCGCGCGCCCCCCTGGCCGTTGTGTCGCATAGCAACCGCGAGTGTCGCCTCGCCTCGCGTCGCGTCGCTTCTTGCGGAGTTTCACACGCGCTCATGTGACGCGCCGCCTACGGAAGAAGTGTCTTGCAGGTTTTTTCTCTGTTTCAGTGGAGAAACACACACGGACTAACTTAGTTTACAGCCGTCCGGGGAAAAACGACAAGAACTCCCAGTCAGAGCGAACGAGCGAGCCCAAGTTCTGCCGGAGAGCACTTCTGTAAGTGTGTGTTTATTCTTTTGTTTGTTTGTGTTTACCTGAGTTTACTTCAGCGTTTCTCAAGTTTGTTTTACTGCGGGTTTTGGGTTCAGTCAATAAACGGATTACTGAATTACTGAAACACACCGATGATTTTATCAGCTCAACTCGAGACAATCTCAGCATGTGAGTCTACAGTCTCTGTTAGTGTTAATAACCGTTATATTTACGACAACATCCACAGGCGAAGATCACGAGTCTATCTATCTATCTATCTATCTATCTATCTATCTATCTATCTATCTATCTATCTATCTATCTATCTATCTATCTATCTATCTATCTATCTATCTATCTATCTATCTATCTATCTATCTATCTATCTATATTTCTGTTTATAATGTGTGTGTGGATGCACTTATCGAGCTTCAAGGAAACACACTGGAGCTTGTGAGTGAGACAGACAGCTCTAGCTGGTGTGTGTGTGTGTGTGTGTGTGTGATGTGGTCTGAAACCACAAGATTTCACAGTCGTTGTGGGGAAACTAATAGAGTTCTTAAAGAGATACAGCACTAACTGTGAAGTTCTACATGCAGAGGATTTCGGTTCCTTTAACTCGTATAATAGAGATCTGTGTGGCGTTTAAGTGTGTGTGTGTGTGTGTGTGTGGAGGGGTTAGCAGGTCCAGTGCTGTGTCTGGAATGTTAATCAGCTTGATGTTTGTAATGAACACTGGGTCGTGCTCGATGTTGTTCAGTGTTTCTTTCAGTGAATGCTCAACGCTTGTGTGTGTGTGTGTGTGTTCCAGTTCCTTCTCTGTTATGACCAATTATGACCAATTCATCTTTTATCAAACCTGCAACTAAAGCAGATCATGGAGAGGCACTGATAGTTATACAACGATGGACAAATCTGCTGATATAGGGTATAATCAGATGAATGACAGTATCTGTTGATTAAAGGGTTAGTTCATCCAATAATAAAAATTCTGTCAGTATTTACTCGCCCTCATGTTGTTCCAACCCCGTAAGACCTTCGTTCATCTTCGCAACACAAATTAAGATATTTAAGATATTAAGATCGCTCCTGCGTCTAGTCCATAGGCTTCTTGAGGGAATGACTCGAAAAGTCATTAAAGACATCGTTAAAATAGTCCAAGTGACTACAGCGGCTCAATCTTAACTTTATCAAACGACGAGAACACAAAAATAACGACTTTATTTCAACTATTGGTTTATTTCTCCCTCTGTGCAAGTCAGGTTACTAGTTTAATAGCGTAAGCTTCTGTTATTGTACGTCTCACACATCACACACATGACCAGCGTCGGCCAATAGTGAGCCTTCGTGTGACGTAGCTTTTTTTTACGCAATCACACTAGGTTAACTGACTACAGGCCCATGGAGAAGGAAGTGAATAGTTAAATAAAGTCGTTATTTTTGTTTGTTTTGGCGCACAAAAAGTGTTTTCGTCGTTTGATAAAGTTAAGATTGCGCCGCTGTAGTCACTTAGACTATTTTAACGATGTCTTTAATGACTTTTCGAGTCATTCCCTCAAGAAGCCTATGGACTAGTATGCAGGAGCGATCTTAATATCTTAAATATTTTAATTTGTGTTGCGAAGATGAACGAAGGTCTTACGGGGTTGAACAACATGAGGGTGAGTAAATACTGACAGAATTTTCATTTTTGGGTGAACTAACCCTTTAAGAGCAGTTGTAAGTCTTGTGTCCGTTCCAAAACATTATTAATAGTTAATAAACATTTTCTGTTATTTATTATTGTATTAGTGTCATTTCAGTCATTTTACTTGCTGTTTTTCTCTTCTTCTGGATATGATCATTCTCTAGATGTTACTTTCAAGAATAACTTGGATTAATACTAATCATATCTGTTGATTTAACAGAAGTTGTATCAATTGCAAATAATTTATCAATAGTTTTATGGTATTTATTATTGTGTAATTTCAGGCATTTTTATTTTTCTCTGTATGATTTGTTCTCTTGACGTCGCTAGCATTATGTTAGCTTTACTGGTTATGTTATACAATCGGATGAATATCTAGGCCTATATCTGTTCTGTTAATTACCCGAACTTGCAGTTTTTGTATCCGTTCCAAAACCAGTTACAAACACCTTTATCGACAGTAAAGTTAATAAACGCATTTTGTTGTTTATTATTATGATATTTGCATTTTCTCTGACTGGATTGATTGCGGGTGTATTGGGCAGTGTTTGTTTGCTAGCTAGCGCTGTTAACGTCTCTTCAGCATGTTGATTAGCTGGCCAAAACTTCACACCAAGCGTGTGTGTGTGTGTGTGTGTGTGTGTGTATATGTCACTTTGTAAGTGTCAGTGAGACTTTAACCACAGCCCTTAGACACTCGTTTGCTCTTTTCATCCTGTTTCTGACTGTCGTTTTAAATGTTGTAGAGGCTTGAAGTGTTTCATGGCCTTTCGTTACTGTTATTTTCTGGATGTGTGATATATTCTTCTTCTCAGACCGGCTGTATGAGGGCATAAGACCGCATGTTGTGTGTCTTTTTATATGTATTTAATGTGTTTTTAGGGCTGGCAAAGCTAATTTTGTCCACTAAAGATATTTACATATATGCAATATATAATAACATGTCTAAAATGTATACAAACATCTTTTATTTATACAAACATTATACAACGGCATCTGTTAAAAGGATATTTTGTTTGAAGATAAATGTCCAAACTGGTGATATGGCCAAAAATCACATTATTACTGTTTTCATTTGTATTTTTAATCGAATGAATGCAGCACTGGTGAGCAGAAGAGACTTCTTTTAAAAACGTTAAAAATCTTACCGATCCAAGACTAGTTGCCTATATATTTAATGTGTTTTGAGGGCTTTCAAAGTTAATGTATTCACAAAATATATTGAATGTGTCATTCTGTTTAATATTATTGGCAACATACCAACCAACAGGGTTAGAGGGATAGGCCAGTTCACCCTTGGATAAATATCATTATTTACTGTGATGTATACGGTATATCTCACTAATTTTACCGTAAAATATGGCACATTTAATGTCCAACAACAAATATTTTAGCAAAATGTAGGCTATGTTTTATCCAGAATGATTGCTCTCCATCAGTTCGGCGTGACGGCACTCGTTCACTGAAGTCTGTGAAGTTTAATGGAGACTCTCTCATATCAAACCACTGTATTTATTTCTTCCACATTCATTTCCCACATGTCTAGTACAAATATGTGGTTTTGTTTTATTAATACAGTGTATATATTTTTTCTTTATTTACCCTGAAAGAATGGAAGTGAAATGTGACAACATGCCCCATTGGTGGGGTACATTGTAACATGACCACATGACATCTTAAAATGCTATGATCTAATAAAAAAATATACAAGTCAAACCAAAATATTTTCTTAATAAAATACAATTATTAACTTTTTCATAAAATGACATTTTTAAATAATTAAAAATAAACTAATTTTTGAGTTTGACAACACACACACACACACAGGAAAACACAGCTATACAGCATAGTTTAAAACAAAATCATAATTCATCATTTCTGACCTTGACTCTCAGTCTTTATTTACATGTTTCTTGTGCTTTCTCAATATGATTTCTAAAAGTATAGAATATAATATCATATTTCTTATGGGGGCACATTGTAACGCAGTGTGACAACATGCCCCGCCTGCACAACTGGGGTTTAAACCCGGCTAGTGTCTTCTGATAGCTAGCAGTAGCATTAAAGAACTTTATCAACTGTTAAACAACAGATTGGAGATTAAAACTAATATCAGATTTGTCTAATTTTAAATAAAAACAAAAAATAGTGATGTACATTTGCTATGGTTAAATAAATGTTCAGTGATATCTTACAAAGATTTCTGAATTTTGGCGCAATTGTTTTTCTATATAGTGTTGAAATGGCAACTAGTAAATAGACCAAGTTTCTGTTAGCTTATCCAGTAACTTCGTTGCTAATCAGAAAAATGGGGTAAAAGGTTCTTCCTGCTCAGTTACTGCCAAAAAATCATGTAACCACATACTTGACCAAACCTGCACATCGGCTAGAGCTGAGTGTGTGTTCATGTAGTTCATTACGCTGTGTTGCACAATCACAGTTTGTGCACTATTAGATTATAGAGGGTTTTCACGGCGCGTCAACAATCCGGAAGTCGGCCATTTTGGAGGCACAGAATATAAACAATGCCATTGAACTGAACGGACTCGCAAATTTGTCTGATTATTTCTGCTGAAAAATGGTGGAGTTTTGTTCTGGACTCATCGGGAAAATACCTTTTGAGTTCTATAGACCTTATGTAGCCCCGCCCCTTTTCAGCGTTGCGCTCTTCCGGTTTGTATTTTGACAGCGATCTTGTATAGGTATGAATGAACTGCTCGTAAAAAAAATTCCCGTTCGACATTTGTTAAGACATCTGCATTACAATGCTCATGATAACTTTTGTTAACTCTACAATAAGTAAATCCACTTCACCAGCTAAGTACTCCTCGACAGCGATGCCATAGAAATATACAGAACCGGAAGTTCAAAGACAAAATTCTAACGATGACGGCGCCCACGTTTCTCTGGTGCATAAGGGCTATAGACTGCCAAAAGTTAAAGAGAAGAGTGAAAAAACTGAAAGAAGGCGTTTGTGGTGAGAGAGGCACAGAATCAGCTCATCAGACACACGTGTTATGAAGCTAACATTTAAGCTACGTTAAAATGTTAACGTATTAACTATGGCTACATTCACACTGCCAGTCCAAATCCAATAATCATTGTATCCGATTGGATTGTGATCTAAAATGATGTCCACACTGTTTATCGTTACTGTTCAGATCCGATTTGTGAGTCCATGCAGCTCCCGGGCAATGACACTGATGGAGGGGTTTGCATTTGCAATAGAGATGTTTTCTTATTTAAAGAGCCCCTATTATAGCATTTGAAATGTTCCTATTTTTGTTTTAGGAGTTCCCAAAAACAGGATAAAAAACACTTTATTTGTCTTATAATA